CTAATTAATTAACTTTGTGTGTGTCTTTTCTTTTTCTGTTTATTTACTGACAAACCCGGGGAATTGTTTTAAACGGCATAAAAAGCTATATTAAAATTGAACAACCATCGTTATAAAAGGAACTTCGATTTTAATGTTCATGGTTTTCACAAAGTCATAAGAAAGGCGATTTTTTTTCTTCAATTTCCTTTTATTTCGTTCCAACAGACCTTTAGTAGTCCCACGCCTTCGGGTTCTTGTTTTTTTTTCGTCGAGTTTTTTGTCTTTTAAGGCCTCTTCCAACAGCAGGTCCGTCTATACACCCACGCGACTTCCATGGCGTTGCAGTCTTCGTCGTTTTCTAACGCGATACGACGCTAATTTATTATTACTATCGGCGACTTAACAGTTATCATAAATTTCTGCGGTTGGACGGTTTCGCAATTGCACACACCGCGTCCGTTCCGTTTTCAAATAAAACCAATCCCATCGTTCTTACATTTTTTAAGGTCTATTCATTTGACAGAAGAAGTCCCCTTTCCTTTTGTATAACTTTCCTGTTTGCATTTTTGTTTTTGGCTTTGTAGCTTATTTTTGACCTTATTTGGAAAAATGTTTCGACTTTTGTAACACCGTAGCAACAGGAGGGGTTTGTTATCGATCCAACTTGAAACACAAAGGGGGAAAATCCGACTAGTTTATTACATGGAATGAGAACTAATTTGAAACGGAATTTATATTCCATGATTAGAACTCGGTTAAGACTTTATTTACATAAACTCGTCTAATCAAATATAAATATGACGCACTTTGTTTAAAATCCTTTACGATCACGATACTAATTACGCTTACGAAAACATCAAATAAAATCGTACTACAAGGCGGTTATTGTTTTGAATACATTTATTATATAGTTCAAAGATAACAATTAGATAGTAGACTTCTCAAACCGACTTCAAAAGTTATTTAAAACCAAACATGTTTTGAAAGATGATTGAGCTTCCGAAGTCCACAAACAATTTTCTTGATGTATTTTCAAGGAATTGTCATCGCGAGGACACACACAATACGTGTGTTTATTTTGCTTAGATCTTTTTCTATTCAGAATTAATTTGCAACGATAAATTGTTTATTTAACGATATGGTAGTTATTTTTTCTTATCATAATGGTGTTTTTCTTGTGATTTCTTATCGATGTGTACCGCAAATGGCGGAAGTCAATTTATTTTTAACCTATTTTTTGATGGATAAATCTGGATAAACGGGAGTTATTCGGTGTATGTGATGCGAACTGTTTTTAGATGTTAGGGTGGAATCCGAACGGTTCAAACGATCTAAAAATATCATCGAGTTTAAAATACGAATAGTTTAAATTTAGACGGATATAAACCCTTAACTTTTTGGGTGGGTGACAAGATTTATGTTGGAAAACATCGGATGTTTCTATTTTTAGAAGAATCGACGAAATTAATAATTTAATTGTGAGACACCAAAAAATTGAAGGTATTTATTACATTTCATCATTATTATTTAATTTTGCTTTATCAAGCGATTAAATGAAATATGGGAATTATTTTCTTATGATAAATATATGCTGACAGTTGTCCGATATTGATACCAGTATTATAAATTGATTAATGTAAATGTTATATTATTTCATCGTTGATTGGATGAATTATAATTCTCCCATGTTACTATTAATATCCTCAAAAGCAAAGAATGAAAACAAAATAACTAAATGTACTTATCTATAATTAGCTAAACTTTCTTAAAATACTCAATTAAAAATACATGCATCGATGATTTCATCATTGAGAAACGATCGACGTTTTGTACAGGTTTGACCAGCTGCTCAAAATGACCTTTTCGATTCTGTGGTTGTGGGTACAATCGCAAGAAAAGAATGGTGTGTTTCATTGTGCTATACTGAAGTACATCATTTTTTTCAAAAACGTTTTTCATCTCGCAATTTTTAATAAAACCTCTTCTATAGAACATATTTTTCAGTTCGTTCATTAGTTAATTAATTAGTACCGTAATAATTCGTGATAATAAATTAAATTTATCATCAGAAAAATCTCTGTTAAATTGTTCGTTAATATATTTTTATAAATAACATTAAGTTTAACATTACGTATGTAATTTATTTGTATAAAGATGCCATCTCTATCCAAATTGTTATCTTCGTTCGTTTTTCTTCATCAATACTTTGTACATCAGAGATAATCAAAGAAACGCTCAAGGTGGAAAGTGTCGTTAGGGTACAGAATGAAACATTGCAACCATTAGAAATAAGTAAGGGCCTTTGACAGGGTAACCCTCTATCATATATCTCGAGGGATTCGGGAGTTAATATTAAGAGGAACGACTATACTTAACAAAACCGTCAAGATCTTGGCCTTCGCAGATCACGTCGACATAATTGTTTAAACAAGCGACGAAACGTGAACTAAAGGTAAACCAAACAAAAACAAAATACATGCACGAATGTAATACATCGAGTTAGACGAATACAGCTTTGAAGGTGTGCAACAGTTCATGTATTTGGGCTCATTGGTGGCTTCCGAGAATATAACAGATAACAGTGGAGAAGATTAAAGAAGGATACACCTGGTAAACGGGACGTATTAAGTTCTGATTAGGCATTTAGGATTGGATGACCTGTATTCTAATACAACCAATCTGGTGAGATGTCTGTCCTGTCACAGAGGGACGAAAGGCTACCAGGCACTTTTAAGAGGAAAATACTCAGTATACAAGGGAGTGTTGGAAATGTAATTGGGAGAGAAATGTTAAGGTTTCCCCTAGGCATCTCTTCCCTCCATCATTCTAACCACATGTCCTACCCATTACAATCACTGGATCTTGATGTACTCTGAAAGCATGGGCTTCTTGTATTATCTGATATTATTCCCATATATTGGGCCTACAATCTTTCTTAGGATCTTAATCAGCGTCCAGGTCTTACAGCCATATGTCATTATAAGCCTTAAAATTCGTTTATAGATCTGGAACTTTATGTTCCTATCTACATAATATATCCTAAGATTGGCTATTGCAAAGTGAGATTTGTTGGCTAACAGTATTCTTCTTCGTAATTTGAGAGCTTGGTTCCCACCCCTCACCTCCTTTTAAGATATGCGAACTGCGATAACACACACAACATTGCCTGACCTAGTCTGCATTATCATTTTCCTTACATTTGTTTTCAGCCTCACCGGCTTCACCATGATCTTTTATCTGTAGATTTCTTCTGAATCCCTTTTTACTCAGTTTGAGATGAAAATGTTGTTCGCATAGGCCACCAGCTGTACTGATTTAGTTAAGAGTAGTTTCGATCTTCCTCATTTCAGTTTTCGTATCGCATCTTCCGGTACCAGATTAAACACCGATGATGCTAGCTCATTCTGTTGTTTTAGTTCTAGAGTGATATTGAAAGTTTTTGTTAGCTGTCTTTGATTGCGTACGCAAGCTTGTGTATTACTTAATATTGCTCATATCAGTTTTATAATCTTTACTGGTATCCTAAGCTCGGAATGCGGTATAAATACTCCCTGCTAATGGAGTCATATTCCTGCCAAAAGCTACAAATAAAATATTTTTTGTAACTTCCTTACTAAAATGGCATTCCTTATTTTACCAATACTTGTAATTACGGTGTAATTAAGGGTTGGGTTGTAGGCTTTTTTCTTGTTGCTGTCATGCTGATTATTTTCAGTATTTTTCATGTTATAAAAGATTTTTAACCTTTCATTTCTTCGATATCACTTACTATGACTCTTCTTGTTTGATTTATCCAGAGTTTCGTATGGGGTTTATATCCTTGTCGTAATTGTTTTATAGATCTGTACGCATTTTTTTCCATGTCCTAAAGTTGGTCATTTTCATTCCTTCTTTTGTCTATAGCTTCTTTTCGATCGTCGCATTCATACCCCCGATTATTATCTTGATGCCATTTTCTGCGGGATACGTATACGTTTTCAAGTTGTTGATAGAAGGTCTGTTTTATTTCAGGCCTGCCTGCTTGTTACCGTAAAGCACAGTATAAGCGTTAGTGTATCTGATTCCATCACCCAACCGTCAGAGTTTCCTGTATTGCCGTTATTGCCAATTTATACTTATTTATTTCATCTAGCAGACTGCTGTTATTCCGGTGTATTAGTGTTCTTACATTCCATGTATCTATTACCGGCCAAACCCGATTTTAGGATGAACTAGTTTCGCCTAGGCGCCCTAGGCCAAACCAGTTCTCCCTACACGTGATAGGACAAATCAGTATAGCCTAGGCCAAACTCGTTCATTCTCTTACCGATAGGATAAACCAGTTTTAGCCTAGATCCAATTGGTTTATCCTCGTTAGAATTTATATGCTTTAGGACAAATTGGTACGTCCTAGTCTGAACTAATTTCACCTAATTTGTATCTTCTATAAGCTATTTAAAGTAATTTGAATAAAGGAATAGAAATAAAATAGTCAATATGATTTATTAAAGTTATTTATTAACTAATCAGTAATTTCACATCTATCACTAGATCAGATCAACTTCGGATCCACAGAAATCACCTTATCTGTAATTTGCTTATTTACTTATTTTTGCAAGGTTTACTCTGGTGGCACTTAGAATTGCAGAGTACTTTGTTTTTCTTACAATTGCATTTGTTTGTTGTACAGTTTTGCATACAACTGCATTTCACGAAGACTTGCCCTGATCTAACAGAATGGTTTATGGCTGCAGTCCTTAAAGATATTTCAATATCCTGGTTAATATCTCTCACATCTAAAATCAAAAAAAAGTCGAAATCCGTTCTAAAAAATAAAAAAAGTTAAAACAAATATTTTTTAATATTTTATTACAGAAAATTATGGAAAATTTTAATAAAATTATACCTGCAATAATGTTTTTGAAGAACGCTATGTTTGGTGCCAACTTTGTAAAGACCCTCATCAGTCTTTTGAAGTATTACTCCAATTACGTTTCGAAGGTGACCTCTGCCTTTAGCTACATCGGGAATAGGTATGGTTACGTTGTCTCCAATATTAGCTGGTGGATGGGTTTTTCTGTCGCAATTTTTCTAGCAATTTGAATGTCGTTTGTGTCCATTTTCATAATGTTATCATCATCACTGTCTTCGTACTGTTCAGTATTGCTGTCATCTTCGATTGCTTTCTTTAGCTCATCTTCATCCTGAATATTAACGATTTCTTGAGGCAACGAGGAAGTGGAAAGTCCTACTCTAGGTTCGATTCCGAATAATGCTTTGTAAGGTGATTGTTTTATGCCAGAGTGGTAAGCTCGATTTTTCATGAATTGGACATACCTTAATCCTTCCGACCACTTCGTCGAATTGTTGTCCTTTAACCAAGAACTTATCATATTTTCAATGTCTTGGTTAGCACGTTCAACAGAACCCTGACTTTGGTTGTGCCTTGGTTTTCCATGCACAATTTTTAGTTCTGACCAAAGATTTGCGAGTTTACTTATATATAACATTATTGACAAATTCTCTGCTATTATCAGATTAAAAAATGCACGGCGCCCCTACAGTTAGGAATTTGTCATTTAAATGATAAGCCACTGTTTCAGCCGTCTTTGATGTTAACGCACGAAGGAGAATAAATTTTCTGAGATGGTCTTGGTAAACCAGAATGAATTTAAAATTGTTTGGAAATCAATCAAATCGACTTGACATCTGCTATTCATTTCCGAATGAAGAATTGGCTTTGAAACTAACCCTCTTTCCTTTTTTGTCTTCTTTTGTTGACAGACCTCACACATTGATAAATAGAGGCCTATCATCTCCTTTGTGATATTGGCATATTTTTTTGATTTCTAATATCCTATCACGATCACCATAATCCACAACTACATGAGCTGCGTCAATCACATCATAAAGTTCATCAGCTGGAAGAAAGTATTTTATATTCCCTTTACACCAGTTTTTTCACATCATCAATTTTCAAAACAGCAAATCGTTTCAGTCTTTTTTTTTTGTAATGATGTTCTTTTTTCCAACTTTTCCGCGTCTTCTACTTGTTCAACCAAATCCGCATATTCGTCTACTGATAACACATTATAATGAGAAGACTTTCTGTTTTCACTTTGCAAAATTTCCTCCAAAAACTTTTCTCTCCGCAGCTTTTGATTGGCTTGCCTACTACACGAAGGCTCATCCATGATAAAACGCATCACAATAATTATACTAGGATTATAATAAAATCTTTTAAACGCAACCAGCAAATTAACACGCGCACTCGTTGATGCAAAATACCGTTCAAATCAACGAACAGGGCGAGCGAAGAGCGGTTAGGTTAGGTTGCTGGGCGCGAGGGGCGAGCCAGAGATGATTTGGGGATTCCCCGTTCGTACAGGTAGCGACATGCGTTCCGATTTGGCCTAGGCGAAACTAGTTCATCCTAAAATCGGGTTTGGCCGGTAACATATCTATTTCATAGTCCTCATACTCCTTCGTTTGTCATTCTGAGGTTTTATTACTGGTTTCATAACCACACTTTTTTTGAGAATGGATTGTTTTGCGATTGTTGTACCTCCTTTTCAGAGACCATTTCTTCCGCACTTGTAGTCTTGTCCCTAGGTTGGAAGTAAGATAATTGATTTGAACCTTAAAAGATTTATTAAACAATAAAATTATAAAGTAAGAAAACATAAACAAAATGGAGGAACTCTCTAGTTTCGGCATTCGGTAGTAATCAGAGACAATGTCAAATGTTATTAAAAGATTAAGATATCAAACATTATTTATATTGAAATGATGCAGAAAAAGTATTAGATTGCAAGAAGATTCCAAAACAGCTCTTTATTCTCTATATTGGGTGTAGTGGTACGAAATCCAGTTGTCCCGGCTAAGCTCGGCGTCGATATGAGGTACCTGGAGGAGTCTGGGAGCCCCAGATGGGTAAAATATTCACTTCGATGGTGCGGGAGCACACCGTACAAAAGAGATATGTTGGAAATGATAAAGTACAATATCTGGTAAACGATTTGTTCATGGACGCATTGGGATTATTTCGTAGGTGGCTGACAGTAAAGGTAATCTGGGTTAAAGACTCCCAACTGACGTAGCGGTTCTGACTTAGTTAACGAATGTAACAACTGTTCTCAACCTTCCAAGTAAAAACCGATGCAAACACAACAAGCGAAACCGTTGACTTACTCCAAATACTTGCTCTATTTTCTACCTATTCTATACTAAAACCGTATATGTAAATAAAAAATATGAGTAAGTTTAAAAGTTAGATACGTTTTACAAATATTCCCTAGAGTAGTCATTCAAACATACAGTTAGCTTATTATTCTAGTGGTAAAACTGTATGGTAAAAACCATTTCGAAAAGATTCCGTGAGAAATCTTAACCTACACACAGTTGGGATGACAATCGAATTAACAAAAGGGAATAAAAGTTTTCCCAACTCTGTACAATAACCTTACAAAAAGTCAATTTAACTTGAGAATACGAAAAGTCCATTGTCTTCGGTGCTGTAGTTGTGCAAAGGTATGGCGATATTACACGGTTCAACCAAATTGATTCACTTTTCTTGAAAGGCCACCAAAATGAACGATTCAACTTACTTTGCGCGGAAGATATCGTCGAATCAGGTCGTACGGTTGGGAATAACCTTAATTTGTGATCATTTAATTAAGGAGTTAACAAAATAGAAGCAAAGAAATAGAAGGCGTTGGTGGATATTAAGAAGACAGACGTTGGGAGCTTCAAACTGTCTATTGAGAGAATTGGCAGAAGAGGATCCAGATTCATATAATCTTCGAATGAATAAAACAAAATTTGAAGAATTTCTAAAAATGGTTACTCCGTTAATCCAGAAAGAAAGTACTGTGATGAGAGATGCTTTGCCAGCACGAATAAAATTGCAAATGGTCTTCAAACATCTTGCTACTGGTGATTGTTTAGGATCATTGCAACAATTATCAAAAGTGAAGATATTAAACCAGCCTAATTCTTTCAACGCGATTACATAATCACATTGAATGATTCACTTTTATGTTCACATGATTCAATTTCGATGCTTCATCCAAATTGAAAGGCAGAACAGAAGTGAACCTTTAGACAAGAATGATAGTCGCAAAAGTACGAAAAAATGGATGTTCATTTTTGGGTATTTGCCCTTACTAAATAATAAGAAGTTGAAACAACATTTAATCGTTTTATACACGGTGTGTTCAAGCAAACTGGGAATTTGGGTCGGACTTCAAGAGTCGGCAACGTCGAACCGGAAATCATAACCGTGAACATTTCCGCTTGGCCGTGCAGGAAAACCTGCTCTACGTGTAGGTAGGTAATAGCCGCGAAAACCGGGTCTGCTGGATGACTAGTAGACGGCAACAACAATAACAACAGCGCACAACAAACATTGACGGCTGCGATGACTCCGCGGCGGTAGGGCGTACCGTTAAAAAGGGGGTGGAGGCGCGCGAGCGGTCGGCGCAGTTAAGTTCATCGACTTTTGCATACAATAAGCGAGCGGCCAACTTGGCGCGCTATCTGATCTCTTCTGTGGTAATTAATGTACAGATACCACTACCACCAAACCGTAACTTTGCCCTACTTTGGATTGTGAATTTGCAGGTTTATGTGTACAAGGTATGATAATACTACATTGAAAATTATAATCAAGTTATTCGTTCTTCCGGTAAAGCCGGTTTTAACAATTTGAAAATTTTCAATTTGAAACTAATTTTTAATCACTTACTCTAATTGTTTAATTATGTTTATATGTACTCTTAAATGAATTAACAACATGATATAATTGAATTAACAATTAATTGAAAGGATTTGATATTTGGCGCCAATATTTGCAAGAAAATCCGACGATTGCTGCAATCTATTTATAGAGTTAATTCCAGTTAATGCTGCAACACACCATCTGTTTCGAACCCAGATAATTTAATTAGTATCAACTTTTTTTCATCGACCTTTTTTCTACGAATTAAAAAATCAACTCCAGCACAAGAATTGTGAGCAATTAAGCATGTTATCGAGACACCATCGAGGTGAAAATGGGCCAGGTCGCTGAAGATGATTTTGTATACAAAACCAGTTTGTTCTTCCAAACCAAATTTATTTCTTGTTATCCAATGATATACGTTGGTTTTTTGCTGGTTAAAATTGTTGAGTGAATTGAACCCTGCAAGTCCCTATGATGAATCAATGTTTTTGAACTTTCTGGCACACTTTAAAAACTGTGGTGATGTTTTGTTTTAATCGACAGCTACAAGTTTGTGTCTCAAATTTCCTATCGATAATAACTGATCAAGTACTACAGGCTTAAAAAAAAGGCAAAAAATGCTATTATTATTTTGAAAGTAATACTTACCAATTAAGGATTGCTCCATCACAACTATTGACCTATCAAATTATAACCGCCAATTTAAGATAGAAGTCATGAGCGAGATCTTAAGATTATATATAAAAATGTTACACTTAATCATTAAAAACAAGTTTTCGACCTTGAAACGCAAATAACTAATATTTAAAATAGGTATTATGAGTTGCTAAAGTATTTTAAATATTTCAACAAAGTGTCTTAGTATTTTTAAGTTAGAATACTTTTTTTAATTTTAAAATACTTGATCCAATACTTATTTTTTTATACTCTATATTGCTTGATTTGCTGTAATTATGTTAATTAAATAATAATAGTAATTAAAAAATTGATCTATCATTAATAATAATGAATGTTAGCTGTGGTATTTTGTACTCAAAATATCGCAAAAAACATTCCACGGATACACAGGTGTTTTGAAACAACGTTTAGAGATTTAACTCTCTAAACAGGTGTGATTGAGGTAATAACTTGATCTAAAATTACTGGAAGACCTTTACGTCATTTTCTTGGAATAATTCAAATTCAAAGCTCTACTTTGAGGGACAAAATGGAACACGGTATTGACTTTAGTAGCTTGCAGTATAGCACACTTAGCATACTTTAGGATAGCATTTTACGCAATTATATTCGTGGATTAATGTGATTAATTGGATTCGGCTTTACCTGACCTGTAAGGTTTTTATACATCTTTTTAATAAATACACAACATAATAATAACTTCAAGGCTATCTGAAAATAAATTGTTTTCACCGTTCTCTATCCACCGCCTCTTCACAACAGTTGTAGTTGTATCCCTCTCTCTTAATATATTGGCTGTAATGTTGTACCAGGTCATTTTTGATCTTCCTCTGCTTCTGTTCCACGGTTATCTACTTCATCATACTTGCCACTAACTTAGCTGTCTTTATTGTATAAGGTTTTATACTCAAATGACTTTTCGTTGGTATTTCATTTCTATTACTCTTATGTTGTTGTGTTAGTACCCATATCTCATAACTATAGGTCAAAATTGGTCTATATATTGTTTTATATATTTTATGCTTATTTTCCAAAATTCATTTTCAGACATTTCTTGCTTCAGCTGTAGTAGAGGCGGTTAGCTTTCTCTTCTTCTTTTACTTTTTTATT